TTAGCAATGTGTTGGCTGTCATGCCTCTACCACAAGCCATTACAGCAGCCATAAGAGAATGAAAGTGCATATGTGTGTGCACATGATGCCTCTGATTTTTCACACTGTTTCTAGGCTCTGGCTTCCAACTCCACTGCAGACCTTTGAAAACACCCTCTTTGCCTTACAAAAAGCTAGAACCTGCTGAGTGCTTGGTTCCAAAAAGACCCCTTTTAGGGAAGGGGTATGGTACAGTGGCTCTAAACATGAAGTGACTTGATCATGGTGTACCTGGGGAAGAGATTTCTGAGATGGCAGACAAAGGCACAGCATGATCCAATGACTGAAAGCTGAAGCTACACAAATTCAGGGTAGAAATAAGGCTGTAATTTTTAACAGTGAGGGAGACTAACCATTGGAACAACCTATCAAAGGAAGTGGTGCATTCTCGGTCATCTGAAGTCTGTAAGTCAATACTGGCTGTCTTTCTAAAAGAGATGTTATAGGTCAAAGAGAAGTTGTGGGTTTGAAGCAGAAATTATCAGGTGAAATTCTTTTGGCCTGTTATGCAGGAGGTCAGCCTACACGATCATAATGATCCCTTCTTGCCTATAAATCTTTGAACCCAACTACCTGCTAGCAAATAGAGCTGGTCAAAAATGTTTGGGAAAATGAAAATTTCAACCACCACCAACAAAAGGACAAAACTTGCCCCCAAAATGTTCAACTTCTAAAATGATCTTTACTTTCTTGTTGGGGGGGGGGGTTCTTTTTCAGATCCATCACCAGAGCCTACTACAGAAACTCAGTAGGCGGGCTCCTCTTATTTGACATTACAAACCGCAGATCCTTCCAGAACGTCCATGAGTGGCTAGAAGAGACAAAGGTGCACGTCCAGCCCTACCAGATTGTCTTCGTTTTGGTAGGTCACAAATGCGACCTTGACACACAGCGGCAAGTCACTAGACACGAGGCTGAGAAACTGGCTGCTGCATATGGCATGAAGTACATTGAGACATCTGCTCGGGATGCCATTAACGTGGAGAAGGCCTTCACTGACCTGACTCGAGATATATACGAGCTTGTTAAAAGGGGGGAAATTTCGATCCAGGAGGGCTGGGAAGGGGTAAAGAGTGGGTTTGTACCGAACGTAGTGCACTCTTCAGAAGAGGTGGTGAAATCAGATAGGAGATGCTTGTGCTAATCACGTCTAGTGAGAAAAGCTATGATGAACTCTACTAATCAAACATACTCTATTAAGTGAACTCAGTGTGATGGAAAGGGATTGTAACACTAGCATGGTGAATGGCCTCACACGTTGTTTTGAACACCAGAGGAACAGAACCAAGAAAGAAATGGTCAGTTCCAAATAACCTCTTTCAGAACTGGGGGGGAGGGCTACAAACCTATATGAGAATGAACAAAGGTGCATGTTTATGTTATAAGAGATGGGAGGCATAAGAACAAGAGAGGATCTGAATGAGATGGTACAGAACAGGGAATTTTACATGTACTGTTTTTCTATGCCATGTGTTGAAGCCACAGTCTGAACAGTCTATTAATACAACACACACGAGAGGAGAGAGAAAATCTTGGTTTGCATCAACAATTTATTTCCAGGAAGATTAGAATATAGTGCGGTTTCCATTCCTGAATGTTACTTCCAGGGTTAACTCAAAAGAAACATTTTACAGATGTGGCACACACACTTTTGTGGCTTAATGTTCTTGTACCTCGTTAAAACATAGACTAAGACTATAATATGGTACTTTAAAAGGAAAATAAGGGTTATTTTATTGATAATTAAAACTTAAGCATCACCATCCCCCTGAAGAGGGGTGTTTTCCTTGCCCTGCCTAGCTGAGACTAAGGACCAAGTCCAGCATGACCACTCCAATTATCATTATCGGATGAATTTATAAATACTTATTATCTCTCTACATGATTGTAGTAGAAGTACCTCGACTATATGGATTTCCAATATAATTAACAGATCAGGAGTATAAAGCTTCCTAAGTGTATCCTCAGATCCAGTATCTCACAGATGGGTCATGGCAACCAGTGATTAGCAGTCAGGTGGGAAATGCAGATATTTCTGTCTTACTGTCAGAAGTAGAGTGATGTTGGCAGCATTTCACTGTAAACTTACATTGCTCCTTAGGAAAAAAGGAAAGAACAAAAGAAAACTAAAGAAGGTTTAAATCAAGAGCATCATACATCCCGGAAGGTGGGGTTTCCTTTTAAAGAACAAGGGAAAGAGCTGGTTCCAGTACTGAAAGCAGTGGCTAGTGGCAGCATTTTCTGCTCTTATTGTGTTGCTTTCTTTACTGGCATCTGGGGAAGGAGAGAAATAGGAAGTGGAAGGAGGGGTATAGAGATGAAGTGTCTGAGAGGGTGAAAAGGGAAGAAGAGAGAAGCATAGGAGAAAATGTCTTCTCTTTGTTTTATTTATATTCTACCCAAGATGGGGCCTACACCGGGCAGGTAGCTGACTTACAAAGGCTATAACTAAGTGTCCATTTTCTGGGAACACCATCTACCATTTCAGCTTTGCTTTGTGTAAGTACTGTATTAACTAAAGCTTTTGGAATGCAGAAGGGTAACAATGCGCCTGTATTGTGCCGAGGAGGATCAACATGTTAGCAAAACATACAGTGACATTTATTCAAGTTTGCGAGCTTTACAAGCCAAACTGTTAATTTGGTTATGAGGGATTAGGCAAACCACTAAGAGATCCAGCATTTGAATACAGGCCTCCAGGTAGACAAGAATAAAGTACTTCTAATTGCTCCTCTAAGGTACCATGTTCCATAAGAGTATGATTTTTGACAAGCTGAATCTGTCGCTCTTCAGATCCATTCTTGTGTTTTGTACCATTTGAGCCTGACTGTATCATAAAAATAACAAGACCATTGCTTAGGTATGAAAGCTGTAAAAAATTTAAATGAATAATATTTTACCTTTAAATTTTCTAGTAACATTTGCAATCCTTGAGCTCAGCGGGTGAGAGCAAACATGGTATGCCACTGTGAATTCATAGCAAACATAGATCCAGAGGATATTGAAATGGGGGTTGGCTGCGGGAAATGATACAGCCTTTTACTTCTGAATACCAATGGTCAATCTTGATTAGGTTACAATTGTATTCAGTTTGCTGGCCTAACTCTAAGACCCCCATTCAACTCCCACTGAAGTCCATGGAAGCCTTTCCAATGATTTCAAGAGAAGGTAGATATGGCCCTCAGTCTGCAGTGTGCATTACAAAACCTCTTTCTTGAATGGCCCAATTTGGCATGATTGGGAATCTTGGCTCAGGAGAGACCTACAACAACACGGGTATTGCAGGCGATCCCCCCCTCAGCTTGCACTGACGTCAGCGAGAACTGAGGGGCATTGGTGGGGTGTGGTGAGGCACATGCAGCATTTACCCGGAGTTGTCAGTCTCTGACCTTCACGAACAAGAGCAGCCATATTTAAAAGGGTCCAATGTTTATGTACCTTTATTCACTGAACGGAAAATATGCCAAGCTTCCATTTTAGCCTTTCAAGGCTGAGTCAGCTCTAAAGTTGTCTCAGATTTTCTAGTTTAAACAACAATCTGTCTTAAATGTAGAGACTTTGGTTTAATCCAGTAATACTCTGTGAACATGGATGGAAGTAAAACTTATGGGGCCTGTCATGTTTCCTGTATCACCAAAGTCTCACGAGCCAGCATTGCAGGACCTCACTGATGGGGGAAATGATTGAGCTTTTCACTGCATTTCCTTTTTTATTTTTTTTTTTAATGATACAGAAAATCTACATTTCAGTTAGTGGGGTTGGGTTTTTAGTATTTAAATATAAAATTTAGAAAAATCATAAAGCTTGTTCAGGCTTTGAGTAAACCTTGAATTTGTATTGTAAGTATAGTTCAAAAAAAGTACAGTATGAGAAAAAAATCTGTGCTGTCTGAAACGAACTACTTAAAAATAATGAAACAAAAGGAAATGGTTAATATTGAATAAAAGATCATTGTGTACACCTGTTTTCTAATTCCTTGCATTTTCTAGGCAGCTTATAAAAACAAATAGACAATGTAATACAGTCATGTGTATAAGTCTGGGCTGTTTTTTCTTTTTCTAAAATGAAAAACCTTATAGGCTTTGATAAACATTCTTTTCTAACAACTGGTTTTAGTGCTTTGACTACTGCAAGAGGCATTAGAGAAATCAGATGGTGGTATCATTCAAAAGAAACATCCAGGAGTTTTTACTCTAGGACAAAGGAAAACAAAACTTTTTGTGGTACAGGTCACAGATTAAAAACAATCTGCATGTTGGACTGGAATTTCTCAGAACCTCCAGAATAAAGTATACTGTACACTTTTCCTTGCTTTCTGTTATGCACTGTAATGAAATGTGAAAAAACCCCCGCTGTATTTAGCTGTATGTGAATGAAACATGCTTGTATTTAGCAAAATTGTTAATGTGATTATGTGAAATTCAAATCTTGTAAAGAAAAACTTGTGTTTTTTCCTTCCCCCGCACTCCCATTCTTCATCAGTAAGCCATCTAGTAACTCTGTACTTCTACACAGCAACCATGACTGAAAATCCAATACAAACTAATAAACAACATGCACTCTGTTTACAACAAATCTACCATGCATTTTCTCTAATGATGCGTGTTTTGGTGGCCACTATTTAAGATGCGCTCATTGTCCTGGTGAAAGAATCCTAAGAAAATCAATAGGGGTCTATCAAAAGTCAATACAGCTCTACAGGAATTATTCTAAAAACCCAATGGATTTTTTTTAAAGTAATTCAGTGCTTCACAGCCAGTGACAGTTACAGTCATTATTCAAAATATTAAAGCAACCTAGGCCAGACCCTCAGCTGGTGTAACTTGTCCTAGCTCCACTGAATTCAATGAAGCTAGAATACATGCTACCAGCTGCTGATCTGGCCCCATATAAAGCAAAGCGAACTTAAAGAGACTATCATATGAGAATAGCCAGAATCTGCAGTTAGACCATCTGTAGGTTTTTTCTTTCAAAACACCATTATTTAGTATCTAGGATTTGCAATCAAATCATGAAGAATGGCTTAAAAACAAAAACCAGAGCAAGGCTATCCTTCTCTGTAGGCTGTATGCATGAGGATATATTCCACCGTTCAGAGACCAGTTAGCTTGGAATGGGGAGCGGTTCAGAAACCCATTAGCAGGTCCATGTTTGGCGGCGAGACATATATGTAAAGGTTTCAATCTCTTTTCAGGTTTGCCCTGCACCATGAACAGAATGGCTCTGCTTGCTCATTATGCTCAAAACATCAATTCTCAGGATTGCATGTTAGGTGCAACTAGTGGGGACGCTGTTTGGGTTTTATTGCTAATCCCTCTCTACTCCAAAGCACGAGCTGCTAATAGTTTTGCTGGCTTGTAAACGTTTAGTTTGACTTTTTACTGGGCATGGTGAAGAAATGCAATCACTGCCTTGAAGCCATCCAAAAGAGAGCGGCTTTACAACAGGCTTTAGGCAGAAATTCCCGATGTGAGACTCCTACTAATTCACCTTGGGGGAGAGGGTGCCGGGGAAAAACAGTGGAAAACTGCATGGGCCTGCAGTTGCCCCTCACTAGAAACATTCTTATGTGATTCCTTCACACTTTTTGGGCAGCCCCCAAGCACGAGCAACAATCCACTAGCCCCTTTCTTGTCTACTGCTGCATTCAGCATAGAGAAGGAGCAAACGGAGTCTGGCACAGAGACATGAGCCAAGCCTGAGCATGCGCAGCTGGGAGTGACTGGGGCAATGGGGCTAGGAAAGCAGAAAGAAAACAGCAGAACCCTTCTAATCCCATTAGCAGTAATTACCCTGTTCCAATGGCCAACACACTCCCATTCTATGTACTCACTTCTTCTCTCGCCTCTCCTAGCCTCTTAAAGCTAGAGGTAGGCAACTAATTCCTAAGAGTTTATCCAACCAATTTTACCCCATCTCTGCTAATTCATTCACCATGTCTCAACAGACATCTGCAAATGCTGTGCACCAAATTCCAGCAGGTAATTCTTGAGAGATGGCTTTTAGGGGACCAGCCTGGCACAAGCATTCACAAGTCACGCTATGAGGGTAGTTCTGAATGGACCTGTGTATATAATCTGCCTGGGGAGAGAGTCAAGGAGGGTGGGGAAACTACAAGATTCCTTTCCCCCTCTCCCAGCCCCTGAAGAGGCAGTCACTTGCTAGGAGGCTGGACAGGAAGCAGTGAGGGCAGTGGCCCCTGAGCTGCCTGCACCATTTAGCATCACATGCTCTTCTCAAGGATCACATAGGTAGCACAGGCCACCACAAAATCCTTGCTGCCCTGTCCCTGTCCCAGCGCCACCGCTGATATGGATCTCTCTGGCAAGTACAAGGGAGAGGGAGAAGAGCTAAGCAGAATAGCCGTCAATAGTCCTGGTTTGACTGCCAACTTTCACATCCAGGTCGAGGAACTGCTGCCCCTGGCCTAGACAGCAAGCTGATGAGCAATGTCCTGCCCCCGTGGCAGGGGCTGCTTCTCTCTATCGGAGGCAGTTTGCTCCCAGCTCTGGTCCTCTGCTGATTGCTCTAGAGCAGGGGTTGGCCACCTTTCAGAAGCGATGTGCCGAGTCTTCATTTATGCACTCTAATTTAAGGTTTCACGTGCCGGTAATACATTTTAACGTTTTTAAAAGGTCTCTTTCTATAAGTCTAATATAGAACTAAATTATTGTTGTATGTAAAGTAAATAAGGTTTTTAAATGTTTAAGAAGCTTCATTTAAAATTAAATTAAAATGCAAAGCCCCCTGGACTGATGGCCAGAACCCGGGCAGTGTTAGTGCCACTGAAAATCAGCTCGTGTGCCGCCTTCGGCATGCGTGCCAGAGGTTGCCTACCCCTGTTCTAGAGCCACACTCAGGCTACCAGATTATCAGCAGTGTGAAGCTGGGAGCTACTCAGCTGGGAGCATTCAGCAGAGAAGCCTGCATTCTGGGGACAAAAAGTCAGTCACCGGGATGTGCCAAGCACGACAGAGGAAGCCAGGCGGGGGAAGGAAAGGGAAGCACCAAGGAGAGCAACAATCTCTGAAATCTACTAGCTGAGTCTGCCGAGAGGGGTAGTGTATGTCCTGGTGAATTTTAAGTTCAAATTAGAGATCATTGTAATCTTCTATATAACACAGGCTGTAGAATTTCACCTAGTAATTCCTGTCAGTTATTTTCTCTGCTTTCTCCTTTCACTTTCACATAGAACTATTACCCCCAACTCCGCAGCCTACTCACCCACAGGCCTGTGCTACCAGGCCCAGGATCTCCCGATTTATTGAAATAATTGTCCCTG